AACCAAGCCTCCTGCTTGCTCCAGCTCCGTGGCTGCCAGCTGTCATCTTGGTTGGGTTAATTTGCATATAGTTGCTCTGATTGGCTGGTGGGCATGGCTTGGGTATAGCGGAGGTGCGATCAATTTGCATGTTTCTGTTTTATTAGAATATATATATGTGTGTGTGTGTGTGTGTGTGTGTGTGTGTGTGTGAGTGTGTGTGTGTGTGTGTTTGTATATATATTATTGAAGTTTTCAAAATGCATTTTAAATTTTATACCAAGGCTTTAATATAAGGTATCTATAAGGTGAGAATATAGCATTAGTTCCCCTGTAATAAAAAGGGAACAAATAAATTTGTCAACTATCTTAGTCATTTACAGTTCAAGAAATAAGTAAAAAAATATATAAGGTTTACATCAGTCTTTTATGGAAAATAACGTCATTTGAAAATCTTTCATTCTGCTATCTTTATCCTATATAATAAAGAGGTAATATGCAAATTGACTGTCACACCCTTGCACAAGATGGCCAACCCCATGTGGTCAAAGATGGCCGCCCCCATGTGGTCACAAGATGGGCACCACAAGATGGCCGGCAGGAGAGGGCAGTTGGGAGGGACCAGGCCAGCAGGAGAGGGCAGTTGGGGGTGACCAGGCCTGCAGGGGAGGGCAGTTGGCAGGGACCAGGCCTGCAGGGGAGGGCAGTTGGGGGCAACTGTACCAGCAGGGGAGGGCATTTATATAGCAAATAAAACTATTCTCAAGTTTAAGTCACATTACAAATTTTAATGAAGTTCATAATCTGGCACAGAATTCTTAACTTACTGAAAATTATTGATACCATAACCAGTTTATGTTCTTAGCTGAAACTGCTCAATACTAAAACAGCGAAAATAAATGCAAGTGTTCACAGCACCTTAGATTTCATCTCATTCCTGGGCTTGAACACAATTATTTAGAAAATTTCTCCAACTATCTCATACTGAGGAATTTTAGAATCCTATAGAGTTATTCCACTTGTTTTTTGGACAACTCTCAGATTCCAAGTCTCTTCATTACCAAAATTAGAACTGACTGCACATGGAGTTAAACCATGTGAAACATTTCCTATTCCTTGTCATGGAAATAACCAATCTGCTGCCATCACCCGAAACAATGATGGGTGTACTCATTTCCTACCAATGTTTCTACGTGAATTTCTGGGGTATATTCTGCTATAACTTTATCAGAAAACCTTAGGGAGAAAAAATTCAGTAAATTACTATCTATTATGTTTTTTAAAAGTCTTCTTTAAACAATATACCCCTCCAATCTCATTTATAATATGATTTAGAAAAAAGTGAGTACTTTTTTTAAGTATTAAAAACTGTATTTAGAACATAAAATTTCAGGTACATTATAAAAATACTTTATACAAAAATGGGGAATTGGCTATTTAAAATATATGTATAAATATATATTTTTGTGTGTATACACATGAATGTTAAAATTATATTATGTATTTACATATATATCTTTTCTTTCCTTTAATGAAAATAATAAGAGGGGCTGTAAGAAATGCCTGAAGATCTTTCCTATGCAAGTGGCTTTACAATTTGGTCCTGGGTTACCAATATTATTATTGGGTTCTAATCCATAGCTACAAAAAACAAACAAACATGCCCTAACCGGTTTGGCTCAGTGGATAGAGCGTCAGCCTGCGGACTCAAGGCTCCCAGGTTCGATTCCGGTCAAGGGCATGTAACCTTGGTTGAGGGCACATCCCCAGTAGGGAGTGTGCAAGAGGCAGCTGATCGATGTTTCTGTCTCATTGATGTTTCTAACTCTCTATCTCTCTCCCTTCCCTGTAAAAAAAAAAAATATTTTTTAAAATATATTTTAAAACAAACAAACAAACAAAAAAACAAATAATTCTAGCATTCTCTTTAGGGTCTTTTGCCCATATGTATTGGCTCTTAGCTCAGTTGTGGTACTTGAGTTACTACAACAGGAGGAAGTGACAGATAAACATATCAAATCAGCTGGAAATACTTAAAGGTTAAAGTTACCTTGGTGTGAAACTAAAAAAAAAAAAAAATTATTATTTCTTAACTCTAAAATCTTGAGCCATAACCCAGGAGAAAAATATACCACTCCCCAACTCTTATCATAATCCTATTCAAGATCCAAAATAAGTCTGTTGTCTACACTCACTTCCATCAGCATAAAAAAAGAACTG